TCTGGAGAATGTGGCTAGTCATTTGTCAAGAGACGTATCCTTGGCTTACTGTGCTTATAGCCGATAAAGCAGAGTTTTATTGTTAATACCTCAGTGTATCTGAGTAGTTTCGGTTATGATGGTTATAGTTTTAAAAGGGCGAGTTGCCTCATTTGATAATTATATACATGTTGATGATTTGTTGTCTCCTTTTATTAAAGGCATGCATGAATAGATATGAATGTTTTGGGAGCAAACCAAAATGCCATTTTGAGATTTTGGAAAGTGTGAAGGAAACCAAGTATTTTGAAAATATGTTTTGAGGAAAAAGCACATCTGTTGTAAGTATGGAAAATGGGAGGAAAGTAATGGGCTTAGTGAAATTGTTTTTCCTAAGAAGTTGTTACTATTATGAAAATTTGGGAACCGGGGGTAATAAAAGGAAAAGAAAGATGTATCGCTTATAGCATCGAATGAAATGGCTATTTTCGAGAAAAGCTCATACTTATGTATATTTTGTATAAACTACCACAATACTATCGTAGTATGATATCGAGCATTCATGATCATAGCTATCTGTAAGTTGTTATTGTTGTGGATCATGTAGAGATTCCTACTGGACTATATGTTCATCCCACGTTGTTGAATCTTTTTCAGGTGTTAAGTAGGATGTGTTACAAGACGTGGATCTTCTTACTTGTTGGCCACGGGGCCTCTTTTGTGTTGGCGAAATGCCATAGATGTAAAAGGGTTACACTCTTCTTTGATTCTTTAATGATGTAAGCCTTCGGGCATTTTATTCAGTATGCTCATGTTGTATTTAATTTGCATTCGGATGAGAGAATTGTTATTTACTTCTATTCATGGGACTGAAGAGTTTATTTCCGCATGTTATCTCTGAACTTGACTTAAGTTAATGAATTTGGTAATGACTTCGAGTAATAAAAAGTGGGCCGTGACAAACTGAAATTTCTCTAAAAATATTATTGAATAACCTTAACTAATAAAAAAAATATATATTGAAACTCTCTTATTACTAAAAGTTAGAAAAGAATGTTTTACTAATTTTTCCTTGATAGTAACATCATATCAAATATGAATAAATCCCATTGCAAGGACAAGTAAATCGTAAATATTAAATATTTTTCTTTTTAGATTTGTGGTTCAATAATAAACTATGTATTTTGTGTTAATGTTACGTATTTTTGTGATAATGTTACACAATTTTTTTTATTAAAAATGTTTAGATACAAAAAATTGTAACATTACTATAAAATATGTAATTTCATTTTTAAACCATAAATTGTTGTGACTTTACCCAAAATATACCTAACATTTACTACAAAAATACGTAACATACACTTCAAAAATATGTAATAAGGTGAATATAATACACACTTTTTAAGAGGTACACTATAAAAATTTCCTCATAATGGCTACTAGTTAAGCTGCCATTAATGAAGAATTTTATTTTATTATTAATTGTTATAAAAAAAAATTGCATTTATACATTTTTCTTTTTTTAAATAGCAAGAGGTTTTCTTCTGAAACTATCGGACCAATCGGCTAAAATTTAAATTCTTTTGAACCAAAAAAAATTCTTAATCCGAAAGCTTACATATATGTCTAATAGTTCAAATAAAACCTAATGTCATCTATTTGTATGTGTCATTTATTTATTTCTTTATTTATTCACTACACTACCACCAGTTGACCACTTTTCACCAGTGACTTTTTAGCTAATTTCCATACGACTTTTCCAAGTACCGATGACTTTTTTAGCAACTTTCAACACATATGTTTAGCACAGATAAAAATTAAACGCTAGATTAAATAACATATAGTCCTTATACATTTAGACTTTTCACTAATTAATTCTTTTTTTAAATTCAAAAAGAATTAATAAAAAATTTAATCCTTTTTTTTTGATCGGCAAAGAAAACTTTATTGATGAAGCACGTACAAGGTACAATGGGAAACATCAATAAAGAGGAGCTAAGAGCTAAATGATGCTCAAACCTCCAGTTGGTGAGAGACCAACAAAAGAGAAAAAAGAAAACAAACAACAAAGCAAGGGGCAAAACTACAAAACCATGAAGCACTACAGAGTATTGCAAAAGACTACAATCGAGAGTTAACACTGCTACCCTCCCTCCTCCTTCTCTGACTCTTACATCCTCCATACCTCTTCTACCAACCTCCTTTTTGAACTCGTCCAAGGATATGCATGATTTGAACTTCACTATTAAACTCTCATAGAGCCACCCATTGCCGACTTCAACTGCCTTGACAACCATCTTCAACTTCTCATTACTTCCACCACTCTGAACTACTTCTGCAAAAGATCTTCGACCTATACTATCCCATCTTCTGTCCCCAAAACTCCTCTGTGGGCGCTGCATCATCGGACCATCACCTCTGCTTTTCATTGCCTGCTGTTTAAACTCCCACCATTAATGTTATCAATGTTATCACAACCGCAGACTCGTCGCCAAGGATGATTTATTCTCCAAGCAATTTAGGATCATTGAAAAACATGACCATTACTTTTATACATGCAATCCAAATATATATGATTAAATTAAGACTTTTTATGAATAATTTATGTACAAGAGTCTAAAAATGAATCAAATTATTACGTTACAACTTGTGATGAATTTCACATGCCCAAAAATAACCACTGTGGAACTGAAAAATCATATAATCTACCAATGATAGATCTAGGACTCTTATGGAATTTTTTTTTAAAAATAAGATATAGTAAATTTTACAATTTTGATATAATACAAGTTTTCCTTTCAGTAAATTTACATTTCAATTGTAAAATATATACAAAAATAATCAAAGTAAAATATACATTTCAAGTGCAAAAGAAATTACAACATTAGTTAAATTATGTGAATTAAAATTTTAAAGAAGCTCAAGGGCTATAAGTAATGTTGGCTCCGTTTGATTTAATTTTTTGAAAAGAGTTTTGAATTGTATTTTGAATGATAAGTTGTTGGAAAAAGTTTTGGAAATTAAAAATTTGTTTGGTTATGAGTTTTGAAAATAATTTTGTGATGATCTGTAATTTTTTGTAATGAGAGGAGAGAAAGAAAAAGTGATTGATTGATTTATTAATAATAAAAACAAAGAAGAGAATGAGAGAGGAGAGAGAAAAAATACTTTTGAAAAGAGTTTTGAAAATTGATAAATCAAACATATTTTTTGATTTTTTAATCCAAATATTAATTTAAAAACTAAACTAAACGGCACCATTGTGTTTGAATTATTTGCCTAAAATAAAGCTAAATATTTTTCTTTTTTCTTTTCAAATTTCCAACCATTCCGACGTTCCAAACATAACCTAAATAAATTCAGGCCGTTCTTTTGCTATCACATCTCATGTCAGTTGGTGTTTAGAAGATTGTATTAATTCCCAAACCCTAGTCATCACTACTTCCACTAACCTCTTTGATAAGAATGTTTAATTTACAAACACAAGTCAAAAAAAAAAAAATCGATCATCAATCAACCCAAAACATTACATTTCAAGAAGCTATATATCCTCAAAAAAATGAATTTACCATTAACAAAAAAAACACACACAACACTGTCAACATGTTTAGTCCCAAAACAAGGACCATCATATGTTTATAGTCACAAACTTGAGACCATACACTTAGGAAAGCCAAGCAAGCTAAAAAGAATAGGAGAATGAGAACCATTGTACTTAACAACAGCAATTTTAAATACCAAGGAAAAAAAATACAATGAAAAGTGTTCAGAATTTAAAATATATGAATCAGATTCTTTCATTCGAGGTATGTACGCCAATATATAGTAGAAGAAATTCAAGAATTTAAAGCATTCAAAACTTTATCAGGTTTGTTAGTGGTATAAAATATTAAAAATAAATAAATAAATTATCCATCTTCAATTATGTGATCGGTTTTGGTGTTTATCAACTAATTCCTTCTTTTAATCTTGAAGTTTCTACCAGAAGATAGTGCTTATAGTACACGTGAAAACACGATAATTCATGAACACACTAGCAGAAATTGTTACATGATATAATTTTCTCTACTCTTCTTCTACCGATTACTAGTTGGCCAACTACATTATCCATAACGTAGAGGCAGTGGCGGAGCTAAGTGTGGACCAGGGGGTCACATGCTCTCCTTGGATTTTGGACTTTTTTTTTTTTAATATAAAGAAAATATTTTAAATTATAAAAATTATAAAAATATTATTAGAGTAAAATGTCAATGGCATTTTAAAAATTATGAGAATAATAATGGTTATTTTAATTGAAAATACTAAGTGTGGACCAGGGGTCACGCGCTCTCCTTGGATTTTGGACTTTTTTTTTTTTAATATAAAGAAAATATTTTAAATTATAAAAATTATAAAAATATTATTAGAGTAAAATGTCAATGGCATTTTAAAAATTATGAGAATAATAATGGTTATTTTAATTGAAAACAAAAAGACTACTATAAACCATATTATCTATGAAAAATTTTGAATGTAACGGTGATATCATTATTATTGATATACAAGTATAAGTAATCCCACAATAAAGATGTGAAATTTTTTAGATTGTTAGTTACATTTGACATGTGAGGTCCACTTTTTATGTGTTTATTTATCATTAGTTGGTGATATCACATACTAATGATGACGTAGTATTACCTTTATATTGAATTTTTAATCAAATTTTGTATAAAAAAATAATTTATCATTATATAATTTATTGTAGGACCTATATTCATATTTTTTTTATATTGTCCATGATACACTAGTTATAAATAACATTATTTTTTTGATGTTTCTCAAGATCAATCATAAAAATTTACGCGAAATATTTTTATAAAAATTTTCGATATTGTAATTAATAAGTGCCCCTTCTAATTTAATTTTCTGCCTCCGCCACTGCGTAGAGGGCATACCAAAAAATAAAAACCTAACCAAAAATGTCAAAATAAAAAAATTTGAAGCATTGTGGAGCTACTAAAATTTAGAGAGGGAGAGAGAAATAGAGAAAGAACACCATAATTGACTGTATTATAAGCCACTTTTATTAATTTTTAGTACAATTAATACATGGAGAATACAAACTCCATTAATCTTTATTTTCTTGGGGCTCCGTATGAGATAAAATAGCATAGTAAATCATAATCAACAAGCAAAAATGAATCACATGAAACTCTAACCAATTACAGGGACCCTAGTAACAATTCCACAGTCATCAACCCAAACACGAACCCTAGTGCAGAGAAAATCCTCGGTAACAATCGATCCTTCTAGCACAATCACGGCATTAACCAGAGGATTCTCCTTCTCAATGGTCGCTGCCGCTGTTTCTCCCTTTGCCCCAAGGAGCTCAGGCCATGAACTCTTACCTACATACATATAACTACTTGTATTAGCCTTCTAAACAGTTTTAAATAGTGTATCGGATTATCATAATCGATCACCACTCTACAACTAATCTTTTTTTCTTTTAATATGTAGAGAAAAAGATTTATTGACTCAAAAGTAGAGAATTAAACATAATAAGTACATTTTTTTATGAAAAAAGGCATGTCCAAACTAAGGCCAAGTTTGGGAAGATCCAAAAAAGCCAAAAAGTCAAAAAGTTACTCAAAAAGTTAAAAAGTTAACACTATTCACCAAAAGTCAACAATTACGGCTGCACAACTCCCAATTCAAATTTTTCCCTGCAAATCAATTTTTACAATTAGAATTAAACATAATAAGTACATTTTTTTAATGAAAAAAGGCATGTCCAAACTAAGTGGAAACGCAATTTCATCCAAACATAAGCAAAACCTAATCTTTACCTTTGCATTCAGTCTCAGACGACATTTTCTGTGTTATGCTTTGCTAGATCTTGGTGTCTTGTCTTTGTGAATTGTGAATTGTGAATGATATGTTGTTGGTATGAATGGGTATTTATAGATGATCATTAATCAAAATTTGTGATTAGCTTTGTTGTTGTGGTTGGTTATTTTTGACTTTGCAGCTGTTATTTTGTAGGCAAAAGAAGATAACGTTCTATTTACACGTGTACTTGTGTGTCATTGAAGCTTTGTATACTATTCTAATTGGGCTGCTTCATTATTCAACAACAAAACATTATTGTACAACTTAACAAATCTTGCAAATTTTTTTATGGGAGAATAACATATCAATGTATATTTATATCGGTATATATTTTGAAAAAAAAAATTCACATTACTGATAAATTTTATAAATTTTAATTATTAAGGACACAAATTTTTCCATGTATTAGTAATTATTTTTTAAAATACAACTGATGCATAATTTTTCCTTTTTTATCACTATTTAACATGTCATTTATGTTGGCATAATACTTCCTTTGTTTTTGCATGACAAAATGTTTTTTACTCTGATGTATTGTATGACAGAATTTTTTTTTTTTTTTTCATAATGTAAAACAAGTTTATTTGATTGAAAAATAATTTTTATTTTGAGAACATTTTTTGAACTTAAAGTTTATCAATGCTATCACACTATCATCATTATCATCACTACCACCACCGTCACTACTTTTATCATTTAGTTACCACCACATCACCACTAATACAATTGTTAGTATATTAAATTTAAAGTAATAATTTAAAAAATATATGGAAAAAAAAATTTAAGAAATATTCTTTTGTTGAAAAATATAACTGGAATAAAAATCTAAGTCTCATTTATTTTAGGGAAAAAAGGTTGGAACCTCTTTTTGGGAAACACCCATCACCCCCAATATATTGTGATTGACTATTTTTTATTTTTTATTTTTTCCTTCTATCTCTGTTATTTTAGGTGGGTCAATCATAAATAAATGATGGGGTTGGGATGAAACTCGATTAGTTGTCTCACAAGTACACCCAACGAACGTACGGAGACAATTGGTTAGGAATAGATTTGATATTCCACTCTAGAGATTAATTTTATTTATTTTTTTATGTAGCTCAGTTTATTGGACCTATTTTATTCAAATAATTTACTTTGACGAACGAGTAAATTTTACGTGCAAGTATGTATAGTTTGAAATAGTCTCACATAAATAAAAATAATAATAATAATTAAATCATAATGAAATGGAGAATTTTATTTCATTATTAATTGTTATAAAAAATAATAAAAAATTAGTGAAACATCCCTCCTCAACTTTGTGTAATAGAAGAGATCCAACATGTTTTCTTTATTAGTTAAGGTCCCTCATCATTTTCACAAAAATTTCTCTGTGAAAATTAAAATTTCTCTAAGTCTGGATGAAAATTGAAATTGCTCTGAGTCAGGCAAAATTTCTCTGAGTCGAATTTTCTTTATGAAAATGTTGAAAGACCTTAACTACTATAAAAATATTGTATGTCTTTTATCTTATAAAATCTTAATATTAGAGATCCTAAAACAAATTCTCCTTACATTAATACATTTTTTAATTCAAAAATAATTAATAAAAATTTTAAAACCTACAATAATCATGTGATAATTATATATCATAATTTTAAATTTTGAGTAGATGCCTCTCCGGTCCAAGTCTGCAATCGGATTAGAGGGTGTTGTTGGCCCATGATGGGCACTACTCTAGTCCATTTCAATAATTCAAATTGTTGAATGTATAGGCTTGTTGAGTGCATCATTTCTATAAAAAATTACGTTAATCGGCTTGTTGAGTGCATCATTTCTATAATTATATATCACATCACATTTACATCAACAAGTATGATTTTTTAAATAAACTATTGACATAAATGTGATCTGATCAAGTGTCTATTGATATTCAATTAATATGATTTTTTGCAAGAATCATGTATTCAACAAGTCTTACATATCAAACGGTTTAAATCATCAAGATGACCCCGATCTGAGCCCACCATGAGCCAAGAACACCCTCCAATCCACTTATGAACTTAGGGGGAAGCATGTGCCTAAATTTTAATAGCATGTTTCAATTTTATCAAATAAAATAAAATTCTTCATTCCATAAATGAGCATTAAAATCCAACATTATCCAGCGACACACACACCTTCCAACATTATCCAGAGACACACACACCTTGTCATCAATATTATCACAAACCGCAGACTCATCAGCAAGGATGGTTTATTCTCCAAGCAATCTTAGGATCTTGTATTGAAAAACGTGGCCATTAGAGTTTTCTTTTTTTATTGTGTTCTGTCAAGGGTTATGTGCTTCGTTAAATTAACATTTTGTTTAGATCATGAACTTCTTAAATTAACGTTGTGCATGGATCATGTGAATAACTCTTTCCAAATCTCCAGTTAAATTTGTGGTCCAAACACATCGAGTTGGTGCTTTAATGATCCTATTAATTAAACCATCATCTCCAACCCCTTAACCACCAAATTTTTCATCTAATTTGATTAAGTTTAATTTGATATGACCTCTACTCAAAAAATCATGATGAAAGATTACATGAGTTCTCAATTTGATGAAAAAATGACTATTAGATTTGATGAATATTTGATTTGATGAATATTTGATGAAATGAAAAGATGAAGGATCGGAGATGCTCTTAATTCTTAAACACTAACCACTACTTACACTACTAAACTCTTTGATAAGAATGTCAGATTTACAAAGACAAGTCCAAAAAAAATTCAATCATCAACCAACCAAAAACTTTGCATTTCAAGAAGCTATCCTCAATCATTAACCCAAAAAAAACACTCACAACACTCTCTACATATTTAGTCCCAAAACAGGGACCAGCATATGCTTTAGACACAAACTTGACACCAAACATTTAGGAAGGCCAAGCAAGCTAAAAAGAATACAAGAATGAGAACCATTGCACTAGCAAAAGAAATGTTAAAAAATACGAAAAGTGTCCAGAATTTGAAATGTGTGGATCAGATTCTTTCATTCTGGGTACACGTATGCCAATACTAGGAGAAATTCAAGAATGACTGAAACTGGTAGCGATGGGGATGACGATGACAAGAACGAGAATGAGGAGAAGTATGATTCCGATGCACATACACCTCCGGCTACTCTTCTGGTGTTGCTTTGCAATCTTGAGGTTCTTAGCCCCATCGTTCACATAATGCGCAGCATTCATCACGTGGTGCTCAATGTCATCGAGTTGTTCCCCTTGTGCTTCCACCATCACCGCCATGTCCAAGAACACTTGGTGAAGCTCCAGCAGGCTCTTCTCTATCTCCTTGGCGGTGTCGTGCCTGTCCTGTATCTCCACCACTGTCTCCAGCACCTTTCCTCTCCCATGTTCCTGTAATACCCCCAAAATTGCACATTTACATCAACAAACATAGCCCCCCCAAAAAAATTGATCATTTTCTGATAAAATATTATAAGCTAGATCATCACAGATAGTAGAAAATACTAGTTGCTTGGAACAACTTCACCTATTATTGTCAAAATGCAATGTCAAAGCTGTAATTCGGTATGTTATAGTGTCCTAGCCAAAAAAAAAATGTTAGTGTTCTAGCAATATTTATTTCACTAGTGCAAATGTTATTTTGTCACATTCAAACCACTGCTTATTTTTGTCTCTCTCCCAACCATTGGATCCAAACTCTTTATTGGGTGAGATAAGTTGACAGACACAAATGGTATAGTCAAAGCTTTATTCTACTACCCATAAAATTTAATCAAATGGTATAGATTTAAATGTAGTGTATCCAACCCAAAACACAAGTTTGACATCTAATCTTTTATCAAACTTGTATCAAATCAAGTTTTCACCAAATTTCTAACCATTTTTTTCACTTACCTTCGATGAAATTGTTAAAAAATGAGGATTGGAGATGGTTTTTTTCACCTCTGAATTGATTAAAAGGAGGTTTTTGGAACAAGTTAGGTACTTTTAAAAAGATTTCATCAAAAATTTCGATTCTCACCCTTAGAGTGAGCTTAGCCTATATCAAATTAAACTTTCAATCTAAAATGTTCAACAAATTTGAAAAAATAAATAAATAAATAAATAAAATAAAAATAAAAAAAGTGAAGGGTTGGAGAATACTTGATATATCAAACATCTAGCCACTTAAACACACAAAACATTGCAACTATTCAATCTCATACCTGTATAGCCCTTTGGAGTGAGCATAGCCTATATCAAATCAAACAACTTTTGATTCAAATTTTCTAACAAATTTGATAGAAAAAAAGGTAAAAGGGTTGGAGAATACTGATATATCAAACATCTAGCCACACATACATACACAAAAAAAAAAGCACACAAAACATTGCAAATATCAAAATCTCATACCTGTATAGCCCTCTGAAGAAACTCCTCACCCCCAACACCATTCCCATTTGAAATAATCTTATCAATCACCTCCTCATCTGGGTACTCCCCAGTAACAGTAAAATACCTCCTCCCAACAGTCTCCTTATACTCACACATCATCCTCTGCCTCAACCCCTGAAACTCCATCATCAACTCCTTCAATTTCTTCCTCAACCCATTCGTCACCGCAGACCTCGTTCGATCAATGGGTGTCCCCTCTTTACACCCGGAAAGTCGCCTACTCGTCGCATTAGCCTTGTCCATCTCTTCCAATTGCGTCTTGATTTTCTTGGCTTTTCTCAGAACTGCCACTACATCGGTGTTGATTCCGTGTCGTAGCGATTTCAGGGCGTCGGGTTTGTGAAGAGATTTGAGAGCTTCGTTGGATTCGTGTAATCGACCCAAGATGTCTCGGATTGAACCCATCTCTGTTTTCACTGCCTCGGCTTCTTCGAGGAATGATCCGAGGTTTTTGTCCATCTGGGTCGATGTTGTCATCTGTAGATCGGAGTCTGGACCTGCTTCGAGGTCTTTCATGGCTTCTTTCTTGAGATCTACATAATTTGTAAAGGATTTTGTCATCAGGTCGTTCATTTTGACTTGGCTCAGTATCTGAAAATGGAGAAAGAGAGAGAGAGAGAGAGAGAGAGAGAGATGGGGATGGAAAGTGAAGGTATCAGAGATTGGGATTGAGATTGGAAATGGAAATGGAGAGAAACAGATGAGATGATAGTGTATCAGTGTGTGTGAGCTATTGAGAAGGGTTTAACAGACAGATTTAAAAGACCTGGAAATTAGCCGTTGCACTTTCTTAACGGCTATATATTTTGAATAAATAAGGTTGGATCTTGGTGGAGCCCATCTTTTAAAAAAATAATAATAATAAATAAATTGCTGCTATTGTGTCACTCAACTTTTTCATAAATGCACTTTAAGTGCCATTTTAGAAAGTAGGAAAAAAAAAATAATTTATTAAGAGTGAATTACACTAATAGTCCCTATAATTTGAGAGTTTGTGTCAGTTTAATTCTTTACTTTTCAATTATAACATATTTGACATTAAATTTTAAATCTTATTTAGAATAATTGAAGATATCATTAGATTTTTCAAGGGTAAAATCGTTAATTTTATAAAATATAAACTAATTTAACAAAAATAAATGTCAAAAAAATATTTTTGAATTTTTAAAAATTATTTTTACCCACTAAAAATAAAATTATGTAAAATTAATAAATCTTTTAGACATTTTTTTTTTACCAAATTAATTTTTATTATGTGTTTGAATGATGATCATGTAAAATTAATTTTTAAAAATTAATCATGTAATTTTTATTAATTTTAATTAATTTTACATAATTTTATCTTTGGTGGATAGAAATAATTTTTAAAAAATTAAAAATATTTTTTTGACATTTATTTTTGTCAAATTAATTTATATTTTATTTATTGACGATTTTGCCTTGAAATTAAATAATAATATCTTCAATTGTCCTTATTTGAAACAAGATTCAAAATTCAAGGTCAAATGTGTTACAATTGAAAATTCAGGGACTAAAATGACACAAGTCCCAAACTATAGGAACTGTTAATGTAATTTGCCCATTTATTAATTTATTTAGATTATCTCTCTATTTTTTTTTTGCACGTATTTTTAAAAAATAAATAAAGTAAAAAATAAAAACTGTTTTCAAAAACAAGCCTAAATTTTGTTTTTGTAGTGCTAAGATCTTCAACAATACCATGAACACAAAAATCAAATATAAAATTGAAAAAAAAAAATTGGTATAAGATTTAGAATTCATTTCTCAAAAACCTTATTCATGCATTTATTTTGTTGTGACTGTTTGTGTTTCTAGACTTCTTGTTAAATGTTAAATTCATTAATAGAAAAAATAAATAAAATAAAAAAAGAAAATAAAGTAATAGAACCTTTTTTTCTTTTTTAATTGGATTAAGAAAATAATTAGATATTAATTAATAAAAAGATGAAGCATTGGGGATCACTTTTTTTCCATTAAATTTGATGAAAAGAGAAATTTAGAATAAGATGACAATTTTTTTATAAAGAAATTTGATAAAATGATTGGAGTAGTTCATATCAAATCAAAAATTTTAACTCAAATTTAGAATCAATTTTAAAGAAAAAATAGTGAAGGTTTGGAGACGTTGTTAGATAACTTCAATCATCAACCTACTAATATCCTAGTGGCCACACAAAAAAAATGAATAAATAAAATTACTCTTTATTTATTTTATTTTTTTTCTCAAAAATATATAAAGTGAAATTGAGTTATTTATATACATTTGTTTGTTAACTCAACCAACATATTCCACTTCATTTTCTTTCCTTATCTTCATTATTATTTTTTTTTTTTTTTTTTTTTTTTTTTTTTTTTGTTTCCCCAGTATAAAGAATATCAATTCTTATGTCAGGAGTTTGTTTTTGGTCACAATGCTAAACAAAATTTGAGAAAAATAAAAAGGAATCATCACTTCTGAGCCTAGCAGCAAAAACAGAACAGACCGTGGCCAAAATTCACATACAAATAGTAATGCTAAAATGAGCATATTTGAACCATAATTTGATAAAAATGATGTGGATTAGGACCATATAAAACATCACATCAAACGGTACTTAAATATGATCACCCTATAATTACATTAATAACAATTCAAACTATTATATGCATAGAAAGAACCGAACACGAAATCCACAAGTGTAAGTGTATTCTGTATCCAATTCCTTTTGTGCACATAGCACAACTGATAATAATTACTACATAAATAGAGAACCTAAACAACCACAACCATTCCCTTCAATTCCAACCACTAGGATTCAACCAAACACCACCAAAAACAACAAAACCACCACATACACAGCCACAACAAAGCTTTGCCCAGACTACTACACACAGTAAGAACACCTGACAAATAAGCATAGTTGATTAAAGTATTAGACCTTAAGATATATAAATGAGAGTTCCATTGACCCATTAAACTATCAACCAGAATACCATTAATACTGCAACAATGGCTTATTTTGGGAAGATAGTAAAAAGTGACTTTTTGACTTTTAACCAAGCTTTTGGCTTTTTAGACAAATGATTTGGGAAGTTGGTAAAAAGTGACTTTTGACTTTTTTAATTAATGTTTATTTATGATGTCAAATCATAATAAAATGACCAAACTACCCCCATTTATTTAAAATATTTACGACTTCACCTATGTAACACATTTTGACCAATGAGGATAAAATTGTAATTTCACCGTTGGCTAAAAACCAACTTCCCAAATGAAAAAAAAAAGACAAAAAAACCAACTTTTGGCTTTTGCTACAAACCAAAAAAAGTGACTTTTAGCCAACTTCTCAAAATAGCCCAAAATCCAACCCTCAATCGACAAATAGCCCTAGACTATCCCTCATCATCAAATGAACAATATATCACAAAGTTGTATGCATCAAAATTACCAAAAGTATCTTATCTAACTATTTCAGATCTCGGGCCAACACCACAAAGAGGATGAAGGTGAAGAAGGATCATAGCAAACTTTCGGCCACACAACCGAGTCAGAGGCTGCACCAAATATGCACAAGAGCTAGGAGTGGGCATAGGGTTATCCGACCCGCCCTACCCTACCCGAACCGCAGACCTTTGGACGATTTCCCTACCTGAACCGCAGACCTTTGGACGATTTCGCAAACACGTTAGGGTCGGGTGCAGTTTGGATTATGGCTGAATTTAGGGTTGCGGGCGGGTTGCGTGTTTGAACCGAACCCACTCAACCCGCCCGCTTAACAGAATTTTTTTTTATTTTTTTATTTTTGTATATGTAAAATATGAACCGTTTGATCTTCATCTTTATTCTTAAGTATAACAAACATACAAACGTAAAAAAAAAAACCTTAACAACAATTCATTTGCGCAGCCGCAGCTGGAAATAGCTGAGGTCCCTCCTTCTCTCATCTCATATCAGTCTCTCTCTCTCTCGTTTTTCATCGCCGAACGACCTCTGTCTGCTCATTGTCGATCGACAGATCAACCTCTGGTTTGTCATCGCCAATCGACCTCTGTCTGCTCATCGATCGATCGACCTCTTGTCTGTCTGCTCATCCCTAACTTTGCTTTCTCATCGCCGATCGACCTCTGGTCTGTCTTCTCAGTGCTCATTCCTAATTTTGCTTTCTCATCGCCGATCGACCTCTGGCTTGTCATTGCACCAATCGACCTCTGTTTTTTTTTTTTTTTGTGTTTTTTTTTTTACGCAATCAGATGTGAATAAATATGTTGAATTTGTTGATGTTGAATCTGTTTTTTTTTTTTTTTTTTTTTTTTTTCCGGTGAGGTTTTTTTTTTTTCACTCTATTTGTTTACAGATTCGCAGGTATGCTTATTCACAACAGATCTGTTTATACTTATTCACTCTATTTTTTAAAAATATTTTTTTAATATACATCTCAGAAATAGATTGGTTTTAGATCTGTTTAATCATTTGAATTTGTAATTAGATCTATTTTTTATGTTGAATTTGTTTTAGATCTGTTTTTTATATATTAACTTATATACATCTCAGAAACAGATCTGTTTTTTATGTTGAATTTGTAATTAGATATTTAATTAGATCTGTTTATGTTTAAAACAGATCTGTTTATGCTTATTCACTCTATTTGTTTTAAATATTTTTTTAATATACATCTCAGAAATAGATTGGTTTTAGATCTGTTTAATCATTTGAATTTGCAATTAGATCTGTTTTTTATGTTCAACTTGATTTTGATCTGTTTTTTATATATTAACTTATATACATCTCAGAAACAGATCTGTTTTTTATGTTGAATTTGTAATCAGATCTTTAATTAGATCTGTTTATATTTAAAACAGATCTGTTTATGCTTATTCACTCTATTTGTTTTAAATGATCTGTTTATGCTTATTCACTCTATTTGTTTTAAATATTTATTTAATATACATCTCAGAAATAGATTGGTTTTACATCTCAGAATATTAGATCTTTAATTAGATCTGTCTATTTGTAATTATATCTGTGATTAGATCTGTTTATGTTGAATTTATAATTAGATCTGTCCATTTGTAATTAGATCTGTTTATGTTGAATTTCTTATTAGATCTGTAATTAGATCTGTTTATGTTGAATTTATATTTGGAATTATTGAAATTGAATTTGTAATTTTTGTAATCCAGTTTTTTTATTTTTCAGTTTGTTTTTATGCAGGGTTCATTAATCAAATGCATGGAATTGAAATTTTTAGAACTTTATTTTATTTAACAACAATTTTTCGTTTTCTCTTGCATTTTGAAAGAATGTAATAGTTAATAAAGTTTGAATGATTTTATTTTAATTTTGAATGAATGTATAAGTAATGGTTAAGTTTAGGATTTTGAATGATCTTATTTTAATTTTGTATTATTGGGTAGTAGTAGTAGTAGATGAAGAATGGAAAAAAATTGTACTGTTGGCTAATAGATTAATTTTGAAAGATTTTAGGATTTTGAATAATTTTGAATGATTTTAAGATTTTAAATGATTTGTTTGTATTAAGAATTGATTTTGAAGCATTTTAAAAAATTGATTTTGAATGATTTGGAAGTTTTAATGATTTAATTATTAATGTTGAAAAATTTTAGAAATTTGGAAGAAAATGACCTAAAATAAATATTTACAAAATAAGAGAAAAAAAATTCAAAAACTAATTTTTAAAAAGAAAAATCGCACTGCGGGCGGTTGCAGTTTGATT